TGTGCGACCATGTCTGTGCATGCGTGTGCACGTGCGTGCATGTCCGTGCCTGTGCGTCCATGTCTGGGCATTTGCGTGCATGTGCGTGCATGCCCATGCATGTGCGTCCATGTCGGCGTGTGTGCAACCATGTCTGTGCATGCACGTGCATGCCCGTGCCTGTGCGTCCATGTTCGGGCATTTGCGTGCATGTGTGTGCATGCCCGTGCATGTGTGTCCATGTCGGTGCGTGTGCGACCATGTCTGTGCATGCGCGTGCACGTGCGTGCATGTCTGTGCCTGTGTGTCCACGTCCGGGCATTTGTGTGCATTCGCACGCGTGCCAGTGTGTGTGCGTTTGAGTGTGTGCATGTGTGTGTGAGAGTGTGTCTGTGTGCGAGCATACGTGTGTGTGTGTGTGTGTGTGTGCCCGTGCGAGTGTGCACGTGTGCACGCGTGCACGAGTGTATGAATGTGCGTGCGCGCGTGTGTGATTGCTCGCGCTTGCGGATGTTGGTGCACTTTTGGACGTGCCTGTGCTTGTTGTGTGTGGGTAATTGGCATGGCAGGGACACACAGGCTAAGTCAGTTGCCTGAGACACACAGATCTCGTTGTTTGACACCCTCCTGCCTCCGTGTCCTAGAAAACAAACGAGGATGAATGTGAAATCGTTTCTAGGGTGCATCCTAGGAACCGTAGGATGAGAGGTTTGTTTTTTTAATAATATGTGTGAAATGAGAACCTTAGGGTCTCGTTCGAGAACTCTCAGAAAGTTTTAGAAACTGTCCTCTTCCGTTGTTCCACGTGGATCTAATGACAAATCTCTTAAGAGACGAACAACAACGAGCGAATGTGAAAACGTTTCTTGGAAGTGTCCTATACACACTTCAGGACAAAACAGTCATTTCTTCAAAGCTTTCCACAAATATATTTGAAACTCTATAACGACAACGAAATTCAATGTGAAGACGTTTGTAGCAGGTGTCCTAGACAGCTTAAGTTAGGATGAAATGAATGAAAGAGCCCTTTCTAGGACACCTTAGGATGAATTTGCCGGTACTTGATCCTCTAGGACCGCATTCAGTTAATGCACTACGTGATAGAGCCATTGGCCGGAACACAACTTCCCCCTCCTCTCCCCCCTACATCCCCCCTCCTCCTAAATGCCAGCATCCGTTATCGCTCATCCTGGAAAGGCACTTTCTGGTTACCCAATGGATTTGTACTCTATGCTCATGCGTGGTTAGCTTAGACATCCGCTGGTTTGGCAACTTATATGTCATTCACAATCATGTCCCGTACAATTACTATTATTATTATTATTATTATTATTATTGTTTATTATTTTTTTTGGGAATACAACGAATGAGAAACCCATTTAGGACCAATGAATAATGAGAACCTTTCTAGGACTGTTCTAAGTTTCTCGGATTTTCTAGATGTCTTGGACGATATCATTTCTGTGGGGCTTGATTCGATTTTCCGTGGGTACCTGCTGCTCATATCTCTCATAAAATCTGGTTTAATGGTGCCCAAGACGTCTGCTGACAAATGCAAATATGCTTTTTGGGACTTGAATGTCATTATGTTCGGCGGTTGCCTCCAGTTTTGTACAGAAAGCGCCCTGCAGAAAAAAAATATATGCTGGCAAGGTGTTCGCACAGCGGTGTCTAAGGCAAATGAAGTGCCACGCGGGAGCAGCACCCTGAGCCCTGTACGGTGAATAGTGCTGTGGTAGTAGCGCACGGGCAACATCCTTCACTCAGTACGGTGCGTACTAGTAGCAGTAGCAGCAGGGCGTGGTGTTCCCTCGGCAAGGATGGCTGATGATAATGAATCTGGAGAAACAGAAACAGGGCCTCAGCTGCTGCGCATACTTGATAGAACCTTGCCTGACTTTTCAAGCACGTCAATAGTGCAGATTGATGTGCACCCTCATGAGCCATGGGTTCTATGCACAGCTACCAGCTTTTGCCTGGTGCAAGTCTGGAACTATGAAGATGGGACACAGGTCGCCTCCGGGGAAGTTTGGGAGGCAGTTGGCAAAGCAAAATTTCTGATGCAGAGAGACTGGATTGTGGTGCAGGATTCCTTTCGCAGACACTTTGCCATATATGAAATGAAAGCTTCAAAATGGCAACACATAAAACGTGTAGAGCAATCGCCAGATTATGTAAATGCTTATGGATCTATGGTTGTCCACGAGAGCTTACCCTGCGTACTAACCTATAGCGGCTCAGATTTAATTTTACTAGACTCGCGCCAGAATTGGGATGAGATGAAGCTCGGATATCATCACGGTGGGGTGACTGCAGTGGCATTTCATCCGATAGAGTTGGGTATCGTTGCTAGTGCAGGATACAACAACACTATCACGATCTGGGATGTGGACGGTATGTCAAATGTTCGGACGTTCTACACAGAGCGTGGGTTAATTGTGAAAAGCATTGAGTTTTCTGGCCGGCTCTCGAAAAAGTCCCTCATGATCACAGCGGACAGCTTGCGGAGTGGATCTTCCCCAAGTCCAGGCACAGTAAGGGTCTTCGACTTCAAAAGAGGAGTTTGCCTTGCCAAATTGACAGGGCATTCAGTGGATGTGAAGTCAGCCTTTCTGCATCCACGATTGCCTTACCTGTTTAGTGCATCAGAGGATGGAGAAATTAGAGTATGGAGTGAGCTGGACTATAAGCTGGTAGCGTCTTATGTCTGTGAATCCTTAGTTCTGAAAGGCATGGCACTCTGCAAAAACTCTGGCGTACTCATGGTCGGTAGTACAAAAAAGTTCTCGTTGATTGAGGTACTAGAGGGAGGAAGAAAAGCATGGGTGTCAGAGAAGAGGATGGAGAGGGAGCCTGAAAACGAAGCAGCCCATGCCAAGCTGCTGGAGCTGGAGACAAAAATCAGAAATGTTGTAAGCGAAATGGAGCTGAAGAGCGAAATTATTCGTGACGTGAGAGCTCAGCATCAGGAGGAGGGGAGAGCCCAAGCCGAGAGGATTTGGAAGCTGGAGTTGGCGGTGAACAGTTTGAAGGCAGTGGTGTTGAGCCTGGAGGCGGAGGGAACGAGCATGAAGGACGGAAGGGCTGGACTTCTCGACAAGCTTGAGAAGTCAAAGATGGAGCTCGAGACAAAAATCAGAAATGCTGTAAGCAAAATGAAACTGAAGTGGAAGAGCGAAATTATTCATGACGTGAGAGCTCAGCATCAGGAGGAGGCGAGAGCCCAAGCAGACAGGGTTTGGAAGCTGGAGTCGGCGGTAAATGGTTTGAAGGAAGTGGTGCAGAAGCTGGAGGTGGAAGCAACGCGCATGAAGGACGAAACGACTGCATTTCTAGACAAGCTTGAGAAGTCAAAAATGGAGTGTGAGAGCGTGATCGAGGAATTGACAGCCAATCATCAGCCAAAAGAAAAGGCCCAAAAGGAGAGGCAGCAGCACCTGGGGACGGAGGCGGAGAAGTCCGAAACAGAAGCTGAAGAACTAAGGACGGTTCAAGTCCTGGAGACGAAGCTTGAAATGCCATTGTTGATAGATTGGAGCAGTTGAGTGTGGGAGAGCTGAAATGCATAAGAGATTGGAGAAATCTGAGAAAAGGGTTGTGAATCTGCAAAAGCCGTTCCAAGAATATTCGTTGGGAGAGCTCCAGGATGCAACGAACAACTTTGATGCAGCGGGAAACTGTGTGATGGTACGCTCGTTTTGGTAAAGAAATCCGAGACAATATTCGATCATATTTTTAGAGAGGGAAACTATGCGATGGTACGCTTGTTTTGGTAAAGAAATCCGGGACCTCGTCATGTATGCAGGAGATGCACGCTGCCAAGTTTAAGACAGAGGTGGTGGATATTTTGCACACACTACAGCACCCCCATTTATTAACGCTCTGGGGAGTTTGCTACGAAGGGAGCTGTCGCGTGTTCGAGCACATGCCAAACGGAAGCGTGAAGGAATGGATTGGCAATGTGGAGAATCCCTTAACAGGATTCATGCCCTCACACGCTCACTTTTGAACAATGGTGGAGGTTTCCAGAGCGGTGCACTTCCTTCATTCGAGTCGATTGGCGAATGGCGGTCTCATCATCCACCGTGCCATCAAGCCAGAAAACATTTTTTTTGGATGGCAACTTTGTGGCCAAGATTGGTGATGTCGATCAGGCCCTGCTCATCCCAGAAAAATGTGTCAAACAAAAGTCAGCAAAAGGATCCGAGGACGAGGGCTCAAATTCCACATTCCTGTTCCTACAAGCCAATGCCCAGTATGTGGCCCCAGAATTGTGGCAGTCGCGGGTGTTCGATGAGAAGACTGATGTGTATGCGCTTGGTGTCACCATTTTGGAGATGCTGACTGGAAAGTTTGGGAGCGCAATCGGGGTAATCCAGTGCGCTATGGAGGAGGAGGAGGAGGAGAATGCAGTGGCTTTTGAAAATGCCTTGGACCACAGTGCTGGGGCTTGGGATGTTGAGCTGGGAAAGGAAGTGGCGAAGTTGGGGTTAAGGCGTGTCAGCCTGGATACACGCAAAGAAGGTGTAGGAATTCTTCCTGTGCTGGAGGGAGTTGCGCTCATGGTAGTCGTCGCAGAGGCAGCGGGGGTGAAGGAAAAACTTTAAGGTGCGAATTTCCTTTGGATATAATTGATTGTTGAGAATCTAGCGATGATGCGATCATGAAGATCGATGAGGTGGTGGTTGTGGATAAAGTCTTTTAGGTGAAGAAGAGTCCGACTGTGACTCCGGTATGTTCATGTGCTAGAAGCTAGCTTGTACTATACCAATTACTACTCTCACTCTCGTGTAAGCAGTTACACAAGAGAAGAGAAGCTATACAGAGACGGAGAGATTTTGAGGTGAAAGACAGAGATGTCTAGTGGCTTGAAGTGCTTCCGTGTGAGGGTGTCAAAAAATCAAATTGAATATGGAGGTTATGTTCAATGGACATCGCACATTCATAGACCAATACAGCTGCCTGACATCGGGACCACAAATCGCGGGACCAGAAAGTCAGTAGGACTCCCATTTTGTTCCAATTTCAATAGGTTGTTCATAGCTTGCGCGACTACTGACAACAGTGCAGCAGTAAATGAGAAGCGGGAAGGAGGGGGGAGGAAGGGGATGAAGGATATGGAATCCAACTGTGACTCCACTATGTTCATGTACTACTGGAAGCTTGTACTATACCAATTACTACTCTCACTCCCGTGTAATCTGTCACAACAAGAGAAGCTCTGCAGAGACGGTTGACGTGACAGAGGAAAGAAATGGATCCCTGTAAATCCGTTTGACTGCATGTCTGTAAGTGCACGTATATGCTGCAGTCCTGTGAGCAGGACAGTCTTTGATGCTTAATCGTAGCAGCTGGGGTTATCACTTACAGTATCATTGGCTCGGGGACTCTGTAGACTGTAGAGGGTTCCCGATGAGTCAGTCGGTGAAACTCCAACAAGACAGTCTGTCATAGCCCCTTGTTTGTTGTCTCTTCTCCCTCTCTTCCTACAGATCACCGGGCAGTTATGTACGAGGACAGACTGTAGAGGGGGCAGTTATGTATGAGGACAGACTGTAGAGGGGGCAGTTATGTATGAGGACAGACTGAAGAGGGGGCAGTTATGTATGAGGACAGACTGTAGAGGAAGGCAGTTATGTATAAGGACAGACTGTAGAGGGTTCAGCCTTCTGATAAGTCGCTCAAACTTGATGAAACAGTCTGTCACAGCCCCCGTTTGTTGTCCTCTTCTCCATCTCTGCCTATGGTTCACCTGCCATTCCTCAATGACGATATAATATTATATGTAAGAATGAAATGATCGGACCAGGATGTCTAGGAATGCAGGCACTGGCAGACAATTGATGGAACGAGAATGCCAGTGGGACTACACTGGGACCACGATCATGTCTCAATCAGTGGTACAGTAACTGCATTTGGACCAGAAAATGAAGGGACCAGAAGGAGTGTCAATCAGTGGTACTGCATTGGGCCCACGAAATGATGGGACCAGAAAAAGTCAGTGAGACTACACTGGGATGGAACCTGTGTCGTGCAACGAAACCTTCACTGGAGGGGTTTCCCTCTCTCAACTTAGATTTCACAGTTCCTTGGAGTGATTGTGAGTAAATCACAAGCACCAGCGAGCAGGATTTAAGGTTTTAGATCCTGCTCGCTGGTGCTTTGTGGTTTACTCACAATCACTCAAACAAAATGTGAAATCTGATTTGATTTATCAAGTGGGGGGGGTTGCACAGAATTGTAGTCCAATGGGTTAGCGAAGGGTAGTGCAATACCCCGCCTGATATGCCCTGAAGTGGCCCTCAGGCCACACACACAGTTTGCGACCCCGGTTTGAGGCCGCACAGGCCACCGAGAGAAGTTCCCTTGTTGACCCAGGGCCTGTGCGCCTGACATTTGACTTTGGTCAACTGCCCAGCGGGCCAAGAGTCAAAGTCTGTATGTACCCAGCCCAGGCCGTCGGTCAGACACACGCACTTGTTGGTATGCAGGTACCAAGACAGCAACAGGACCAAGTGAAAGTCTGCTACTGTACGCAATCGAGGCCCTCGGCTGGGAGTCAATCTGGGCTACCGTGGGTGGGAGACCTGAGGCAGGTCAACTCGGTCAATCACTACATAAGACCCTGCCTCCAGGGGGCCAGCATTCAGTTTTGCTATGCTGTCTTGACGCTGGCTTGCTGCTGGCTGGACGCTGGCTGGACGCTGGCTGGACGCTGGCTGGACGCTGGCTAAGCGCTGGCACTGTGGACGACGATGCGGGACTGAGGCAGCACGCTGGCGCCTTCTCTGCTGAGCGCCAGCCTATGCTGATGTGATGCATGCCACCTGTCTTCATTGCTGATGTGGTGCATGCCACCTGTCTTCATTGCTGATGTGGTGCATGCCACCTGTCTTCATTGCTGATATGGCGCAGGCCACCTTGGCTGGAAGCAGGCTGGACGC